GAAGGGATGCGACGACATTCGGTGCCGGCCGGGTATGAAGTTTCTTGCGGCGGAAGTTTTTACGGGGGTTCCTTTCTTTCCGCGGCGCGCCGTATGGCCGCGCTTTGACGCCGCGGATAAATGCGATCTCTCATCTCTTCTGGCGCGCGCGAGACCATAAAAGGACTAAGAGCCGAGTCGGGCGAATCCCCTTTACCGGCGTTTCTTCCTTTTCTCGTTGTCCGCTCGCCGTGCATGCGACTTTCCGTTAGTTCTCGTGTAAAGTTTCTTGTCGTTTCGGAGACGCCCCGCGTGCCATTAGCGTATCCGGCCGCGCTGCGGCACAGCTCCGCGATCGCATTCGTCGAAATGCGCACTGCCCGCTTTATAGCCGCGATAACGGATTACAGGTAGGACGGATTACGACCCCCGCCCCTCGTTTTTGCCGCGTATCCGCCGAAGCTCGGACGAGCTTTTTATTCGGCCGGGCGGGCGGAGAATCGCGCCGTGAAAATCGTAACCGCCGGAATATTACCGCCGTATCGGAAGATGTAAGTTTCCGCCGATCAGTTTTTATGTGCGCACCCAGGTGCCACGGTAGATCACGGTAACGTCGAAGCGACGAGAATGTGACCGTAAAAACTCACTTTCCGGCCGTTTTTCTCGCCATCTTCGCGTGATCGTGATTTTCCGCCTGGCCACGAGACGCGAGTAAATCGGCCATCAGCGCCATCGAATCACGTTGTTCGCTGACGTTCCCTTAAGATACTGCCCAAGCCGAAATTTTGATGCTGCTTTTACGCTCCTGAGGATAGTTTGCGCCTAGTTGAATGGTTTATAGATCAATAAAAAATTAATATAAAATTTAAAAACTATTAACTTAATTTGCAAATCAATTCACTGAATACAAACGTAAAATGGCTCTAAATTTAAGAAGGTTTCTAAATTTGAGACTTAACATGGGGCCAAAATCTCGACGACTCAGCTGGTTACGTCACAAGCGGCCCCACTGTTTTACTCCCCCCGAAACGCGCGCGATATGCGCGATCGTAGCCACCGCAAGGAACCATTAATTCCCGAAGTCCGAAGGGATCAGCGGGCGATTCCTTTCGAGCGAAAGGATAGAGCCTTTGGCGATCCCTTGTTTATTCTTCGACGCTGCGGTGCGGGTCTGCGGCCCGAGGCGTCACATCGATCTTGCCTTTTACTTGCCGCCGGCAAGCAAGCCACGTGCAACACCTTTGACCCCCATCGAACCAGCCCCGTCGCCTGGCCGCTTTTATTTTACCGCGCTGCCCACCGCTTACACACCGGAAAGCTTATTTATTTCCTGCCTCCGGACGTGCGGCTCGTATATAGTTTCGCATTCGTCTGTTTCCGCGAGAGCGCACAGAATAACAGCGCAATGGACAACGGGTGATTTGGAGCGGCGGAGAAAGGTCAACTTTGATTAAAGCCGCATCCGACCGCTCGCCTGTTCTCTTTTTCTCTCTCGCGCGCACACGCGGATTTCGGCAATATCCCCGGGGAAAAAAGGGGGAACGTGCGTCGACCGCACACACGCGTCCCCTACGGTTTTCCCTTTGGGAAAACGGTGGTCTTACGGAGCGACGTAAAAGTCGTATGATCTCGTAAAAGCTTTATTTCGCGAATCATGAACGAATAGGTCGTCCGGGAGGGAGTAATTGATTCGCTTTTGATGTACCGACCTCGCGGAGATGGATACACATTGTCGGGAGGCAAGGGAATGGGATAAAAAAAAGAGGGAAAGAGAGAGAGAGAGAGGGTTGCAAAGTTATTCGAGCTTATTTCCGGATATCTTGTATGCGGCATTGGTGTTTGCAAATTCAACGGGATTTATCATTTATGAACGCGATATCATCGATCGCACGATGAGAGTCCTCTTTTATTTAAAGGGACTATCATTTATTAAAGACACCTCTCTGACCACAGGCTGATTTCTCTCCCTTATGCGACATACTTACTCGAACACGAGAATGAGATCTCGACGACACCGTGGTGATATCGAAAAGAGACAGAGAGAGAGAAAGAGAGGAAGAGAGAGAGGGAAAGAGAGAAAGAACGGAATAAGCGAAGGCTGTCCAATGGAAAACGATAATCCACCGTAATGAAATTGGAATTCGAATCGTCGTCTTTTTACGCGACGTGGCTGTCGCTACTCGTCGTCAATTATATCAAGCTGCGGATGTAATATATATGAGAGAGTGGATCGAAGTGGGCAAATAGAACGTCGGTGTGGATGCTGACGATTCACTCCCGCGTCACTCACTCACCGCATTCATTCACTCACTCCGTTCGTTCGCTCGCAGTTCCACCAATCCGCACGGGAGAAGTAAGACAATCGGCCGAAATGTAATTTCTAACAACCCGGAGTCACCAGCTGCTGACGTGCCGTTTCTCGTCGCGTGACACGGCGATTTAGCAGTTCCCGTATCCTAATTAAGAACTCCATTTCGCGATTCTTATTCCCGATAGAGTTCAACAACGGGGTCGACGTGCCCCGACAGCAGTTACTCGCAATTGAAACTGGCCGGCTGACACGTAGCGGCGGCGACGGTGGAGACGGCGGTCGAACTGAAATGAGGGAAGGGCGAATTCGTTCGTATGCACGAAGTTGAATTGCCCGATTACGAGAGAAGAAGAGAGAGAAAGAGAGAGAGAGGAAGAGGGACGTTTTTCCACGACGCTCGAACGGTGATCACGTCGCTCCTTGACGTCGTCCCCGTCGAGAGTGCGCAGTCGCACGACTGCGACGTGATACGAATTGATCCTTAATGTTTCATTAAGTAATGGCCCCGAGAGTTCGGTTACCGTTGGATATACTTCTCGACTTCCACGCTCGGTTTGCCAGCCTTTCTCTCGCGCGCGCGCATCGCCGTAATTAAAGTCAATATTGTAGCTGTACTTACCTGGGATGATAACCCGAAAGTGGTTCCGCGATGGAACGTCTGGAGAAGAGAAAGAAAGAACGAAAGAAAGAAAGAAAGAAAGAAAGAGAGAGAGAGAGAGAGAGAGAGAGACCAGCGAAGGCCGAATCGTGACATGGGGAGAAAGGGGGATACTCGCTAAAAATCTACCACTCGCGCGTTTTTGTTTTCTCTCTCTTGTACATGCCTGTGTGTACATATATGTATATATTTATAATCGCGGTCATCATAAAAGTACAATAATAGCTTTATATCAAATTACGAGGAAAAAGTCAATATTCACACGAGTAGGCGTGGGCGATGGCTTTTTCGAGAGTATCGATTCGCTGCGGATCGTTGCGTGTGAGATTTTTTTTTTACAGTTCTTTCTTTTTCTTTTGTTTTGTGTAAGTTTTTCTTTAATCGTTCGTCCCTTCTGCGGTTTGTTTCCTCTTTTTTTTTTTGTCACGCTCCTGNTTTTTCTTCCCCCCCCCCCTCTCTGTTCTCATGCGATCTCAGGAACGAAAACGCGAGGGGAAGAACGGACGCGGGCGATTGACAAGAAGACAACAGTAAGAATAACGCGGAAAGTGGGCTATTAAACAAAACATCGTTGTAGACAATGAAATAATAACAACAAACAGTTTATAAAAACGCAAAGTGGCCGCTGCGCGGGCGCACGCGTTGGGTCGCGGGAGGTGGACTGGAATGACGACTGACGTCGCGCGTCGGACAACTGGACGATCGCAGTGGCAACGAGAGTAAGAGTCCTGTTGGTTCTTTCGTGCGGTGCGGATTGTGTCGATTAGTCGAGAGGCAGCCACGAGAGGGGGCGGGAGAACGAAGCTTTCACGCGCTCACGATGACCCGGTTTTCTATCCCCCACTTCCTCTCCATCATCTTCTCCTCTTCTTCCCCTGCTCTTNCCCCCCCCCCCCCCCTTATCAATCTCTGCGCTTCGTCCTCCTCCCCGCTCGTCATCTCGCGATCCGTGTCTTTCGCCTCCCCTTCCTGATCCTCGCGATTACTCCCCCTTTTCGTTTTTCGCGCTCACTTGTTACTATAATCCTTTGTACAAATATATAACATTCATAATTCACGATTAACGATTACGATTACGTGGTCCGTGGTTCAGCCTAATGTACGGAGGCCACTTCACGTGCATCTCCCTTCACCCGCGTGCCGCTGAAGCGCGCTGGCTGGGGTGTCGGTGGTATACAGCCTTGCTGTTGTCGTCGAGGAGAGGTGAAGAAAGAGAGACGCGCCTTCGTCTCCTCCCAAGAACTCCACGGTCGTCGATCGCGTCAAGAACAGGTGTTGCGCGAAGGAGATAGATACGTCGATACGTAGATAGGCATTGGATACAATTGGATACAATTGGAGGACACTGTCGAAGAGCGAAGTGGCGGACCGCTCAGCCGGCTTGTCGCAACGGAGCTACATTCGCGCAGCTTGCTCGCATTGTTACCCGTCGCCAGGCCGAAGTTGCTCTACTTGTTGTTCTTGTTGTTGTTATTGTTGTTCGCTGTTCGGGGTTATCCGTTTTGTGCGCGACGTTAGTTGCTCGACGGGACAATCGACAGAGTCTNATCACACGTCCAACGCGCGCAATATCGCCGAAGCGCCCTCGACGCGCCCGCGTCAATTTTATCTCTTTCCACTCCGTATTAATTAAACTTAATTCAATCTTCTTCGCCTGAGAAAAAGAGAGAGAAGGGGAGGGAGGGAGGAAGAGAGAGAGAGAGAGAGAGAGAAAGAGAGAGGCGTCGGAGGGGGAACGCGAAAGGGTGTGGGATCAAGGGCGTCACTAATCAGGCACTTTATAATGTCCTTCACCCTTTCTCTCCGTGTTTCATCGCCGTCCGTCCGGCATCGGAAGTGTCTCGGTACATGACGCGCGACGACGACGGCAGTGATGACGACGACGACATCGGCGACGCACTCGACAACGATGACGGGCAAAAAGTATATCTCTAGCTGTATAGAACATACGTCGTACACTCGCGCATTCAACAATTTGTCATTTTTCCTGGCGCTCGCTCTCTTTCTCACTCACTCTCACTCTCACACACTCTCTTTCTCTCTCTCTCTCTCTCTCTCCCTTTTTTTTCTTTTTTATTCGCATACATCACTCTACGGAGTTCTTCTACTATCACGTTTTCGATGAATCCACCTTCGCGTTTTCTCCTCTCGCCACAGCGCTTTACCCTCATCCTCTTTCTACTCCTCTCCTTCTCCGTGCGTGTCTTCTCATTGTTTTCCCCTCATCGCGTCACGCGATCTCTTACATCCCATCACGGCCCGTTATCTCCTGAGCGGCTGATCCCCGAACCTCGCCGGCGCGAAAGCACGTAACTTCTGACTCGCGGAACCAATCACAATCGAGACTCGTCGATCTTGCTGCGACTCCTTGACGAGAGGAGAGGTCCTGTCATTGGCTACGTCGCTGTTAACGAGGTCTAGGTCATCAGTTCTGTCGTGTCGTCGACGTCCGCGTCGTCGGGCGGCTCCACTCTCACGGCGAGCTGCGTGTAGCCCAGATTAGCCTCTCTCCTGCCGGACCAGGCCTGCGGAACAGAGCGGTGACATACGCGCGTTTACCTTCCCTTGTTTTGACAAGGGATGTTTTCCCGTCGGGGACTGTATACAACTGAAATTCTCCGAACAAGATAATAATAATAATAATAATCCATATTAACGGAAACACTCCGGTATATACACGGGAAAGTAAAAATCACACGTGGGAAGGCAGGAAAAGCAACAGAATGAGAAAAAATATGATTAAAAATGAACATAATATATAGTGAGATATGGCAAAAAGTAAAAAAATGCGACAAAAATATCGCGACACAAAAATTACGTGGCAGAAAAAATATTACAAAAAATAGACAAAAAGTTCACCCGGCGAATAAAAATAATGGTACATACCCGTGAAATATTTGCACGATTTGGGGACACGGAATAATTTTTAAAATAAACTTTATTCATTTTTTAGCAGACATTGTATATATATATATATATATATATATATATATATATATATATATATATATATATATATATATATATATATATATATATATATATATATATATATATATATATATATATATATATATATATATATATATATATATATATATATATATATATATATATATATATATATATATATATATATATATATATATATATATATATATATATATATATATATATATATATATATATATATATATATATATATATATATATATATATATATATATATATATATATATATATATATATATATATATATATATATATATATATATATATATATATATATATATATATATATATATATATATATATATATATATATATATATATATATATATATATATATATATATATATATATATATATATATATATATATATATATATATATATATATATATATATATATATATATATATATATATATATATATATATATATATATATATATATATATATATATATATATATATATATATATATATATATATATATATATATATATATATATATATATATATATATATCGATTACTCACCTGTAGAGCGATGAATATCGTCGCGAATAACGCGATCGACGCGAGGCAGATGGCGACCGCCATGGTTGTGGCCGCTGTCACAGCTAATGTAGCTGAATCATTGTTACTATTCGTCCTCCCGTTGTCGTATGCCTCAGAGACCGCCGAGTCGGTCAAGAACTCTGTGCCCGGTACTCTCCTCTTGCCAGCTGGCGAGCTGTTTCTGCAGCCGCCTGCGAACATCGCAAAGACACGTTTTATAACGCGACACTTCGACGCATTTACAGCGGGCCATAATAAGCGATTAACGGCGCTTGTAATCACGTCGAAACGAGCGAATAGGTGAATCTTCTCGATTGGAACGGAAAGTCACGACGAGCCGTCCGGAATGACATCGAAAAGGCGATAGAATGACTGTAAAAATTCACTTTTCCATCACGATTTATTTTCTCCCGCCATTTTCACGTTATCGCGACCTTCAGTCTGGGCTCTTACCGGTTTCCGGGTCGCAGAGACAACACTCCTCAGCCTGGGGCCCCTTCTCATTGCCTGTGCAGCACGGCACGCACTGGTTGTTCAACTTGTCCAAGTGCAAGGGCGGCGAGCACGCGGAGCAGCTGAACTTGCCGGGGCCAGTGCACCTTCGGCAGTCGGAGTGGCAGCTCTTGCAGAGTTGGGTCAGAGGGTCATAGTACTGCGCGCCCAAGCACTCCATGCACAGGCCGCCTTCCAGCATCGAGTGCGGCGGGCAGGAAGTGCATTCTAGTGGGCCTTCGCCTGGAACATACGTCTCTACGTAGCGCATTCTCCCGTTTGAATGGTATCCGGAGAAGCGTGAATTCGGCCAATCGAACAGCCCCTTCTCGCTCGACGGCGATCGCGATCTGCGTTACCTTTGCACGTGCGGCAATAGTGGTGACACTTCTGACAGCCGTAATTGGACTTGAAGAATCCTTCCGGGCATTCCGGATGGCATTCGCCGGCTGCCAGCTGCCAACCGCTCGGACAAGTGACGCACTGGTCCCTGCGTGGTCCCGAACACGTTTTACACGACAAGTAACACTTGGCGCACTGACCTCTGTCGCTGTAATAACTGAAACCGAGGAGGTACTCTCAAAAAGAATACACAGGCCGTCCGAAACCTTTCGGCCAATCGCACGTGCGAAGGTAGAACGGGTTAAACACTGAGCAGATAAGTCCTCTATGATTCTGCAAACAAGGCAAAATTTCTTTTCCATACATAGCCAGTTTCAACAATTAATAATTCGAAATTTTGCCTGGATGCGGTTGTTTGCAAAATACAGAAGGCGGGACTAATGCAAAATGCAAGGTTTCGTCGGTTTGACCCGTTCTATTTTTACACGAACGATTGGCCGAAAAGTTTCGGACATTCTGTATATCGAGGTACGAAAGGTCCCGTTTTTTCAACAATTTTACCCAGAATTTCCACGAGCACGGGGATCGTGCAGTCACCGGAGCGACGACAGATCATCGGAGAAAATGGCGAATACTTAGGCGGGGTCTATAGTGCGGTCGCAGGATCATCGCAGTCGCTCGAGTCGATTTCTAATTGCAATGACCGATTGGTCGTAGTCGCTGGAATTGGAAGCGGACCGATTCGAGCGACTGCACGGCCCTACGACCGAATTGTATATGGACGAGCTATTAATTTATAGAATTATCTTAAGATAAATAAATATAATATAATACGTAGATTTCGATTAAAGAACGGGATGAATTTTGTATCGATCGAGAGTACCGAACCTTATTCATTTTCGTTTCCGAGAAGCAAACTTTGGTTCTTACAACTAAAACATTTGCTTGTCCATTCAAACAAAAATTCGGTTTGACTCAACTAAGTGGGTTTTCTCGGTGTACAATTTCCCGTGCATTAGCCCTTACTGGCCCGTAATTTTCTTTATCTGATTGAATATTAAACGGAGCCTTGACTTTCCTTCTGGAATTTTATTCTCGTCACGCGACGACGACGACGGCGAGGTACCCCGGTTTTCCTTACCCTTGCGCGCAAGAAGACCTGCACTCCCCGCTCTGCAGCTGCAGCCCGTCTTGGCAGGCGGTGCAGTTGAGACGGGAGACGCAGCTCTTGCAAGTGTGCAGGCACGGCACGCAGACCGGCCGCGAGGGTTGCACCACCGAGTAGTAGCCGTCGTCGCACTGGGATACGCAGCGTTTGCCCTGGAGGAGCGTCGGGTTCGGGCAGGATATGCATTCGTCATCCGTCGGGCCGGAGCAGGTCTCGCAAGACGAGTGGCAGGGCTTGCACTGGCCGTCCTCGTAGTACTGGTTGGAGTTGCAGTTGCTGCGGTTCTCAGGCGCGCACAGGCCCTTCTTGTTCAGGCTCCAGCCCTCGACGCAGCTGGTGCAGCTCAGCGTGGCGCAGGTCGCGCAACCGGGCGGACACGCAACGCATTCCCGCCGCTTCTTGTCGGCGCTGTAGCCGGCCGGGCACGACGCGTGACACGTGCCTGCGACATTCCAAGCCACGGGGCACCGTGTATTGATAGGTTACACGCTATACCAATCACGCTTAACCCTTTATAATATACGGCAAACATCATCCTACTGATCCCACAACTTAGAAAAACGGGAAAAAAACACTCAGACGAAAAGAGACAAAACAAAACATAAGAGTCTGTGTAATATTTAGGAAAGAACAATTTCGAACAAATAAAGGCTACTCACAAGATCTCATATATTAATGATGAGCAAGTACAGTCCCTTGTTCGTTCGGAGAAAGCGAGGCCGCGAAACGAATCGGAGTTACTCACCGTTCAGAGCGAACAGCCCGGACCGGCAGACGATGCACTGATTGTCGGCAGTGCCGTTGCAGGTCTCGCAGGTGGAATGGCAGGGCGCGCAATTGTAGTCCTGCGTCTCGTACGTGTAAGCAGGACACGCGGCGTAACACTTGTTCTCGTGCATTACCAAGTGATGCTCGCAGCTGGTGCACTTGTCCGGCCGATCCTGGCAGCTGGCGCAGTTCGCCTCGCAGGGCACGCACGTGCTGTTCTCGGTATCTGCGCGAAAAGATACGAGTCGTGCGTGCGTCGCCTCACACTAGCTAGATCTCGATTTCCAGGCGGAAGCGTATTTCAATGGGGAGGGGAGGGGGAGAACTGGGTGGTAGTCATTGGACTACGTGCGTACTGGAATGAGCACGCTTTTGTCTTCGAGCGATCAGAGCTGTGCGAGAGAGGCAGTTAAACGGGTACTGTCCTCGTCTAATTACCCGGCGAGAAATGAACATCGAATCGACATCAAATCAACGTCGAATCGATCGGAATTACATCGAATCGTCGATTTGACGTTCTTTCGGTGAATCATTTCTCGCTGGGTATGCGTAACTATCACGTATTCCGATGTGCTATCCACTCCGACAACACTTATCTTCATATTCTATTTTCCACACATAGAAATCTGATTTCCTCGAGGGATGATAGAATGGTGGTTTTCATTAAGAAAGCGTCCAAAACGAATTTAACTTGTACTAACTTTTACACCACACCGAAGACTTAAATCTGTCCGTGTCGGGAAGATTGTTTTCAGCCGTGATAATTTAGGCTGAAAAGATACAGCACGGTAGCAATTCAACTATCTCTGTCTGACCGGCTGTGGTAGGGGTATGGTCGTTCCAATATCGTTATAATTCAATGTCGGTGGTGGGATGTCGGGAGGGTCAGGGAGAACGCGAATCGATCTCGTAATTTCGACGTACTTTCGTAATAGCCCTCGGGGCACTGCTGGAGGCAGACCGCCAGGTCGGTGACTCGCAGGTGGGCGGGAGCGCACGACAGACAGGAGTCTTGGCCGGCACCAGCGCACACCTCGCAGGACTCGTGACATGGCCAGCAGACGCCACCCTGATTGGGGAAGCTCCTTGGCGGGCAGCGACTGACGCATGTGCTAAAAAAAAGATAGGAGATTCGCGTGATGTTGCCTCCAAGGTCACACGTCGATCCAGGTGGTGCGTACCGGTTATGCCCTCTGAAGTGAAAGCGGTTCCAGAGGGCAGATAAGGGAAATCATTAGAAGGGAGAAAAAAAAAGGCTCACGTCGAACGAAACGAAAGTGAGACAGGTGTACGACAGAAGCGAGGTGTGCCCGACGATAAATATGGGCGTGTAGATAATTCGGCGAGCAATCGGAAACGTCAGTTCGGTCATTAGTGTGGCGCATGAAATAATAAAAAGGAAAGAAGGAACATGTCGTCACGTACAAACGTCCTTTCACATTCAGGCGTTCCTACCGTGATGATCCATGGCTTCGTGGCATTGGAAAATTAGATTTTAAGCTCTCATTAGTCCATTTAGTCTCAACGGTCGACTAAACATCGCCGATGCCTGAATCGACCGCTACGTTATGCGTGCGCGTCGTTAATCGCCTAATTACATTTTAGTATTAATTAGTCCGAGAAAACCACATCGGGATCTCGCTTACAGCGAGGAGCCGTGGGGGGGGGATAGATTTTACCTTCGAGGGCGTCACTTGCGGGGAGGCTCGAGAAGCAGCGGGCATAAGCTAAAAGATACTCATACTTTACGGGGCTACATCGTCCTATCTCGAGACGGACGGACGGACGGCGGCGATTACACTCCAACTTTCTGCGATACGATCGGGGAGAAAACGTGGAGAGAATGTGAATCCTGATGTGTTTCTACTCACTTATCGAGGCGGTAATTTTTACAGGCGACGCACTGCGTCGGGCCCTTGCCGTAGCAACCCTGCGAGTCGCACTGAGGGTCACAGTCGTGCAGTATCCTCCTGGTTGTGTCCAAGGAGCCGTCCGCCTGCGAGGACGACGCCGCCAAGGGCGAGTCGTAGGCGGCCGCGGACGAGACGTCGCCGGGCAGCCGGTTCGTCAGTAAAGGCGCCGACGAGCCGTCCAAGGTGGCCACGGACGCCTGCACGTTCGACGCTGCCCCCGTGTACGGGCCCTGGTAGCTCTGAAAGGTAGACGTAGAAAAGAAGTCGCTGTTGTCCGGATAGTCCAGCTGTACCGACGGTACGTCTACTGTGAACGGATAACGCGCGGAGGCGTATGCGGAATGTACCGGGTTAAAGTGCCGGTTGCGCAACCGGATCGGATTCGTCGCCGTGCCGTAGAAGATCAGCTGCCACTTCTTCAGGATACCTGCAAACAGCGCCGGCATAGGGGGCCGAGTTATGACACGGGAGGACGGTTGGACCGGTCGCGACGACTCGAGGCGCGCTCACGAGGGAGATTCGAGTACGAGAACGAGTGGTCCGAGCGAGGGCTCGTTCTCGATATCCGTCTAGACGGCGGTAGACACGGGAAAACTAATCCCGTTGATGTAACGGAATTCAGTTTCTCGAGGCCTGAGGCCAGAAAGCTCGGGGCTTACAGCATTAGTCCCGATTGATTGTAAGAACCGAGTTTTTTTCCGCGCATCTAGACGACAATCAAACATTCAAGCTGCTTTCAAACATTCTTCCGCAGTTTTGTGTCGGGGTGACGGTGATGGATAATGCGAATATTCCGATACAAAAGCATTGAGGAATGCGTTGACGGAAGATCGACGAACTCGCGTCTGCTGCCGGCCGGACGGACGGTGAGAGGCAACCTTGGCTCGATCGTGTTGCGAAAAGCGGCGCGTAACTACCGCTTGGCTCGGAATTACTTCTTCGCCGGCGAAGTTATTACGAAGAGTTCCTCAAGTTCGGGATTGTTCCCGGACGGAACAATCGCCACTTCTCTCTGTCGTCCCGTAGTCGTCGTCGAACTTTCCGCTCGCGTCTCGTCCAAGTCGTGCGATTCGCGCGGGCTCTCGAAAGGGGAAGTAAAGGGAGGACTCGCCTGGTGAATTGACGTGCCGATTCCCGGCGTTAATGATCTGCAGGGTCCATCGACCGTCCGCCTTCTCGCCCCAGAAGTGCACGCTGAGGAAGGGCCAGTCGTCGAAGTTGGAACTGAGGACGTCGCGCGGCCGTTCGAACAGTAAGGTCGAAGTCGTGCCCATCGGCGAGGTCAGCAGCAGCCTGAGGTTGCCTCGAGGGAAGAACCGCAGGGAGACCTGTTTCACGACGTTTCCACTCCAAATCTCGCGAACTCAGGGAGGAATCGACCAAGCCAGTAAAGCCAACGCAAAGTATTAGTTACGCGAGCATTTAACTGATCATTATAGCGTTTGTTAATACGATTCACGAATTTATTTACAAAAATATGCATCCAACCTAGATAATTATATAATTTATAAATAAACTTTCGTTGGCTCTTATTGGCTTGTTGGATTCTTTTTTGGCTGTACATGAGCAAGAATCTTGAGAATCTCCTCGACTTTTCTCGCGGATTTAATCCGACGCCGGCGAGAGGGAAAAAGTGAGAGGGATTCAGGAAAGCCGAGTGTTACGGGAAAGAAAAAAAAATACAAATGAACACACATCTTTCATAGTATCGACGAGAATCCGCGAGGGTGTCCGCCGCCTCGGCGGTCTTACCTTGCACTGCACATGTTCGAGGAACCGAACCTCGTTCAAGGAGCCGGCGCAGCCACTGACATCCATGTACACGCTCAATGTGTACCCGTACGTGGGGTCGATCGGCCTTTCCTCGTTGATCTCGTCGGATTTGCAGATATGCTGAGGCGGCACGTTGGTCCACTGCTCGGCCAGAGTGACCATAGCGCCGGCGTCCATCAAACCGTAGCCGAACTTGTGGGAGACCTTCCTCTTCACCCCGTTCAGTATCCAGCCCGACTCGTTGTTCAACGGCTCGGAGCGCGAGGTGAGCACCACCAGGTACTGCATGTCGCGCCACGTCAGGCTGGGGTTCGCCTCGAGGGCGAGGGCGGCGATGCCGGCGGCGAGCGGCGCCGACGCCGACGTCCCGGTGTGCTCCACCGTGCAGATGTGATCAGGCCGCAGCTTGGCGTCCATGTCGACGGTGGCAACGCTCTTGTCGTTGCCCGGCGTGCCGGACGAGTACGTGGACGCCAACGTGGAGCTGCACTCCTCGAGGTACCACGGCTTGTAGCCGCCTTGGGTCGCGCTCGAGATCGAGAGAGTGAAGATGCTGTTGGTGTAGCCGTCGCAGTTGCAGGAGTCAGTGTGCCTGCCGCCGTTGCCCGACGCCCACACGAAGATCGAGCCCTTGCCCTTGCGACCCTGCGCGCGAGTGGGAACAACGAGTGGGTGACGCGCGCTCGACGTTTCGTCGCGGGCGACCAGCGAAGCGATGGGATGCTTTTTCAAACCGGCACGAGTGACTCTCGCCAAACGAAAAGTTACGGTGTGATTAATAATTTACGATTAATAGTTTGCAATTAATTGAATTGTTTTAGCGGACAGGTTGTGTGATTACGATTATACTCGAACGAACGGCAATGATATTTCAAATATTATCCAAAATAACCCGCAATAAAAAATATAAAATCGCGTAATATTCATATATAAAATTAGTAATAATATAATAACATAAAATTGAAATAATATCCAGCACAGCCGTGGCGCCCGTTTTCTCAAATAATTCACAGTCATGATGTGTGAATAGGTGGACACAGTGTATGTGGTTGAAAAATCCCGGTTACCATTGTGCCGCTGATGTGAATGTTCAGGCTATTATGCCGGTCGGTACGTCGACATCCTTGCGCGGATCCAGGAAGCACAGAAATGAATTTCGCGCGTGGGAGAAATAATCACGCCCGCACTATTTTAATTAGCATTTGTTCAAGGGTTGGGGGAGGGGGGAGAAACGTAGAGAATAGTAACGGAGTTTTTTTCCGAACAACGTAATGTACACGTGAAAAGTTATTCCAATAGCGTATCGTGCCGTCCATTAGTTTGCGAAAAATTACAGAAAATAAAATTCTAGATAGGAAAAAAGCAATTTGCCGCCGTTACTCCGCATGTTAAACAAATTATTTCCCGACGCGAATCAATATCTCTTCCTGAAACGAGAAACAAACCAAAAACACACAAACGATTCAACGTGCGACGAACCAATTTTTGTTTACGTTGTAAACAAAATACGCCGCGTCTGAATTTCCCGTCAAGGAAAATTCGTATCTCGTCGTGAGGTAACGGCCTGCTTTGCCCGATCGGGAGAACGCAAAGACCGTCGTCGTCGTCAGGAAGACTCGGTGACGTTGGAAATCGTTGACGGGAAAATCGCGACGGGGAAAATCCTTGCGTATATAATTAATGTCGACAATTTTCACTCGACGCCGCGTCATTGCGAGACTGAAGGACGTCGGGCGAGCGGACGCGCCGTTCGCTTGAAATCCTCCGGGTGATGGAATAGAATGTCGAGACGAAGGCTCGCAAAGACGGCAAATAAATTGATCCCTTCGCTTCGTGGACGCGCGTGCGCGCGCGGAAAGTGTGCGATATAGCTTACGCTCGTCACTCCGTAAATAAACGCCCTCCTGGCGAGAGGGCCCGGCCCGTCGACAGTCTTGCCGTCGTCCTCGGGACCCCAGGAGGCGCTGTATATGTCGATGTGATCAGGATTCAATCCCAGCGCTCTGGCTTCGACGGCGTCGTTTACCGGGCCATCGAGCATTCGCACGCCTGAGAACACGACAGATATGTGCGTGAGTGAGTCCTCCCTCTCTCGCCGATATCTCGCGTGCCGATGGTGATGCCGACTCGCGTAGTGCGAAAGGTCGTCGTCGGGTCGCGCGGATCGTACGAACCGATATTTCGACGCTACTTTGATACACTTAAAGATAGTTTACGTTTATTTAGACGGTCTGTAAACTGATCAAAACCTACTTTGACGATATTGAAAGTTATTAACTTCTCTCTTAAACCTATCATTCTACATCTTAAACGTTTAATTTCCATGATAATTGAGCAACCTATTTTGACGGTGAAACAGCGGAAACGGAAATTTGAGGCCTCATCAAAATAAGATAAAATTATATTCGAATTGAAAATGAGCCTATTTTGCTATCTTAAGATTGAAATTTCGACACGAGATGCACGGGAAAGGAGGAAGCGCGGAAAGTATAAATTAAGTTACACGGGAAAGGGAACTCCGTGCCAGCAGCAGAATAGGGGCCAGATGAAAATTCGATGACAAGAAATGAAAACTCAGCGACAAGAAGCGATATCTCTGTTACCGTTGAGAATGTTCGCTTAAACATTCAGCTGCATTAAAGCTCGGTCGAGAAAACTGAGAATAATTGACTGAGCGGAAACCTTCTACAGGGATCTTTTGATTCCTACAATCGAATTTTCGTTTGGTCCCGAGGCAACGAATAATTCAGTTACATTAACGGAATTGTTTTTTCTGTGCAGAAAAACTAAATCGATCGCCCATCCGAGCGTTTTCTCGACGGCTCACCTGTTCTGTATCTACTTAGGGGATCTGTGTGATTACAGTCGTCGTCGGATGAGCAAATGGTACTAGCAAAAAACTGCTTCGTAGATAATTGCGACATATCGTCATCGGAATGCGCAAACAAGTAGCAAGCGCAAAATGTGTGGGTTAATTAAGTAAGTAAATCTGGAGCGATCGCTCTCGTCCGCGCATCTTCTCGACTTTCACGACGGCTACCCGCATCGTCTGTATCTGTTTAAAGAATTTGCATAATTGCGGCTGTTACCGGATATGCAGTTATGAACTGATTTCGCAGGTAGCTGTGACGAGCGATCGTTCGGAATATGCCAACAAGTAGCAATCGCGAAATGTGTGGATTAATCCAAGAGGTACATTTAAATCGATCGTTTATCCGCACGTCTTCTCGACTTTCACGACGTCTGTACGCATATTCCACATTTACTTTACGGATCTACAAGTCGGACGTGTCCTATATGCAATCTACAAGTCGGACGTGTCCTATAGACATGCATAAGAGACGATAAAATTAATTTATGCGCTACAGGGGAAAAAACTAGTCCAAGACTTCTAATCAATCCAAGACTTACATATATTTTCTTACTTACATGAAGATAGGTACCTGATATTAATTCTTTTCTGTGTACTTTGCTATTTAGTCTATTATTATATTTTTATATGCGACTGTTATTTAGTTGACGTGTGTAATGTATTCAAACCGGATAGCAAAACCGGCACGGTCTCAGCGAACGAGTAGCGAATCCGTCTGTGCCGTGTTTTAAGGATGCATTGCCCATGAGTTAAAATAATAAAAATTACAAAATGATTGCATTTGAAACAGATATCAAAACTAGTTTTGACGCTAATTCAGAGTTTGCATAAAAAATTATTCCACTTCAAAGAAGATTGTAAGGTGAAACGAATTTGATAAGAGTTCGATGAAACTTGCACCGCGTGTATATTGAAATATCATCTAACTCGAGAATTGAGACATTTGTAACTAAAAATGACACTTTTTATACGTAATTTCGCTTGATAAATACCTTTGATGCGCCATTGGAAATACGGCACTAGTGGGCTATATATTCTTAATTCGCGGACAGAGACGCCGTCTCATGAAAAGGATATGACAAGCCGATATCAGACGGCGCTGAGTAGCGTGTCCGGAATTAAATCCGTCGAAATATCCCCGGCTGAGGTGAAAAATAACCTACTACATGCTACATGTCTCCGTCGCGTCGACGTGCCCCGAGCGAGCTCTGCGCGAAGGGGATGTCCTCGAAGAGAAGCAGGACGACGATCCCGATTTTCAATCGCGGCTATTATATTCGCAACTGCCGCGTATCGCGCGAGCGCTAACGAAATCTCTCTCTCGCTGGCGCCGACTGTATCGGAATTTCTAATTTCGCCGCGACGGCGACGTGGTTATACGATCACCATCCTCGAATTCAATATCAAAAGTCCCGGCTATCGCCGCGCCGTTCCGCGTTATCGTTCCGGGCCTCCCCGCTCACAGTGGCGTAAGCCGCCCCGTCGCAAGCCGGCTTACGGGACGTGTTCGTTTCGTTTCGAAGTAGGTTACCGGAATTAATACGGCTCGATAGCATCGTCGAGAATGGCGGCGGGCGTCTGGCAAACCTGGCCTATTCTTCAGCGAGCCGAGACGATAACCGGCGACCGGCAGTCCTGACATTTCCAGCGGTCGCGGGACTATTTATTTCCGCGAGCCGACCCGCGCGCGAAAGCTGACTAGCGACTGGGAACGTTCCCGCGGGGGAAGGGGCAACCGGTAGTGTAAGACGAGAGAAAAATCTATTCGGAAACTGGAACGCCAGCCTCCGCCGCCGGCCAAAGTTAAAAAAGACCGTCGGTCTTACGCGACTAAGCGTGTACGAAAATTTCGCTATTTAAGGTAGTTGGTCTGTCGAACCATTTTCTTAGGAATCCTTTTTAATTGTAGCTGCATATTTATAGAAATACTATCTACATCTGTAAAGTTAGAAAACGATTGGTCATTCCGGAATTGATGTGTTCCAAACTAAAAATGGCACTTTTTATACGTACGTTCTTTGAGATTAAAGTCCTACTTTTAAGTTTATTTTTAATTTCTTGTAAACCACATTTAGGATTTTAATGAAAAACTATTGTGACATTAAAGACTAATATAGAAACGTTTAATTTCAGAGTTAATTGGTCAATTTTGTATTGAAAATAGCCATGGGAAATTTACAATTTGTTTTAATATCCGCGATATATGTACATATACATATATTTCAATATTTATGTATCGCTTTCTATTATATATGCACCTCTATTAATTCAACTGACGTATAAATAAAATATTAATGGGAAAAACATATAATATCTTCGTGTTTATAATATTGTGTACATATATTTGTCTTAATTTCACATTCAAAATTAACATTTATTATTTAGATAAGTAAATAAAGTTATAGAAAAATATTTTATTTTCAATAAATAATAAAATTATGTAGGAGTTCTTTAATATCGCTACTGAAAAATCTGGCGCTCTACGAACCAACTATCTTAACAAGCAGTTTCACACAAATATCTAATGTATTTCATCGTAGATCTCGATATAGATATTGGTGCAACATTGAGGCGATTATAAATTGTAAAATTAACGTCCTAAATATATCCATATATTCGTTGGATGACTAAAAATAATCGGCAATATCATGCTTCATTAATCACTTCCAGGAGCCTCCGAGTCTTTTCTGTGGTCATGAAAATTTACCCAAGTCTTTAGCAATACCTCACCGGTACCTCTGATTGCTCCGCTTCGATCGGTTACCATCCATATTATCGATTCGAGATTATCAAAGATATACGAGAGTGGCGAGACGCGGCTCCAATATAAATGGAAATGATTGAAAAAGGGATTTCGGTACTTTTACATCCGGGAGGCTCGGTGAATGTGTCGCGAACCTTCCCTGCGCGAGAAAGGGCAGGAGAGTGGGGGCTGGCGGATGAGCGCACTCTCATCACCTGAAATGCTAACAGCCGCAGATAACAACCTATTTCGAATTTCAACAAAATCCACTAGAAAGGACATAAAATATCTACACCAATTTCTGGGCTATCAGCCGCAGGAGTATCGGCAAAAGGGAAATATTGATCCGCCATACGTTATCCCGCCTGTGGTACCATTCAATTTTCGCTTCCGATCTACAAGATATACACGCCACGTAATTTAGGAATGTATAAAACTCAACTCTCTTTCACGTATCGCTCCCGAACGACATAATCTGTCCCGCACGTTGGAATGAAAATTTCGATAAGTGGACATATCCCTTGAAATTGCACACGAACGGGATGAGAGGGAGAGAAAGAGAGAGAGAGAAAGAGAGAGAGAGAGAGAGAGAGAGAACGATACGTATATATATATACTTATATATGTATACGTAATCCACACGCAGTTTAATAGAGCGTTTCGGCGATTCTTAAACTTCTTACAGCGGATTTGGATCTCATTACGAGGCGAGCTCCTTCAATTAATTCCCGCTTCGGACTCTTCTCGTCTATGAACGTTTAAAATTACATTACGAAGTAATCTTCTCGACTCTCCTTTTTATTATTCCTAATTAGTTCGCCGTAATCACTTCAAAATCCCCGACAGAATCGATCTTAGTGACGATACTCTTTTCGTGGCATCGCCGATGTCTTGAATAAATAAAAATAAAAAGTAAACTTCCTCTCTTTCTCTCTCTCTCTCTCTCTCTCTCTCAAGAACAGTGATTACTCGCCCGATTTAATCAAATTCTGCTTTTACCTCCGATACTGGCATTGTAGGCAACGCCGACACCGCAGTACTGGTTGAAAGCGACGGCGGCGACTTCGCCGGCGCACCGAGTGCCGTGCTTGTTGTCGCCGTTGTCCCTCGGCATCGGGTCGTCGTCGTTGTCGTTGATGTCGGTGCTAGCCTCGTGATCGTAGTTGAGCGCCAGATCGGGATGATTGGTCTGGATTCCATCGTCCAAGATGGAAACGACGACTCCTTTGCCGGTGTAGCCCTTCTGCCAGGCTGGCGCGAGGTTCATGTCGTAGCCATCCTTGGCGCCGCCGTTCTGCGACAACGGAATGTCAAATTTGACTCGCGGCCGTAGACGGATATTTTACTTCGCTTAAAGATCACGACGATGATGAATCGCGCGTGCGGGACGCTATGTGATTCTTTGACAGGTATTAATTCACGAATTTCGTGTTGCCGCGGATGGCCGTTGATTGATATTCGTGTAACGCTCGCATCTCCACATAGGCATGTGCGCGCGCGCGCGCGTGAGCGAGTGTGATTTCCTAGATTAATGGATTACTGGCCGCATGGCAAATTCGGACGGTCCCTTTCGGGAATGCCGCAAATTTCCCAGCGTGATCCACGCGCTGTCGCGGCAAACGGGCCACCGTGCGACTTCGATTTCTCATTTTTCGTTGCCGGCCAATTGGAAGCTATGCGCCATGGAGACTAACAAACTAGGTGAATGAGATTCGAGTTTTAAGCCGCGCAAACTGCAGTCGGGAGACCCAGCGCGATCCGTGCTGGCCGCCAGAAATGTTTCCCGAGCGTGACAAATGGCGCATTATTCTTCTCAATTTTTTTATATTGCGCGGGTAATATATGAAATTATATTAAACGACCGCATTGCGTTCTCCCACCGGCCGAAAATAACTTTAACGTCGAACCAGAAGAATCCCGCCGTTCGGTGGCCCCCCGCCGGGCCAGCAGCTTTCCACCTGGGATTTTTCCAGCGGAGGAGCGCGACGCAAGCGTCCGCGGCGAGCTCTCAATTTATTGCTATATATCGCGGCGCGTCACCGTCCAAATAAAAAATATCGACCGCGTTAAAATTCCAGGCGAATTTTCGACAGAGCTATAGCTCTTCCGACACCGCCACCGGTGGACATCTGAAGCTCCACGCCGCAAACCGGGGAAAAAATATACATATAGATATATATATGAATGAATATGTGTATGTGTGTGTGTGTGTGTGTGTGCATTCGAGACACGATCCGGGCGAGCTGGCGGCGCGATTTGTATCCTCTAACAAACGTCCGTTTTATGCATTTATAATGGATTGATTATTGCGACCGGCCGGCGTTTGCATTTGCGCCGTGAATTTGCGTAATAAATGTACGGTATGGAAATACGCGAATGCTTCGTACGTGTTCGCGGCAGGTAACGCGGCAGGCGGGCGAATGTTCGCGCGTGGCGATCGTGATCGCTCCGAAATAGGGCGAAAAAAATTCGCGACGGTAACACGATAAATTTGTGCGTGCGTAGAATGATATCGCCGTTTCCGTAGATTATCCGTCAGCAGAGGTGTGTGTGTGTATGTGTGTGTGTGTGTGGATGTTCAAGGATCGCAAGCACGGCAATCGCAGCAAATACAGCACATAGACAGTGGTGTTCTTCGATTTTTCTCCCTTGAGAGAGAAGAATTTTTCCCTCTTTTTCCTCCCTTTTCTCTCTCTTTCTCTCTCTCTTGTTTTTATATGAATTATAAATATAAATTAATTAACTAATTATAAATTATTATAATAAATCTGATTAAAAGCGCCTTCAAAGTACGCCGCGTCCAACGAAATAATCTTGTCACCTTAATTCTTACAGGAAAAATACATAAAAGGCAGTTATTTTCTACTTGGTAACATCTAAACGAACAACGTTAAATGTAAAATTCTCTTATATTAATACAATTTCTGTTCTTCTTTCCTTCTCTGTAATGTTTTTTGTTAAGGGCATTTTTCAAGAATATTTTCCTACAGCAATAATAAACGTAGTTATCTATCTATCTGCCTATCTCTCTTACTATCTCAGAATAAGATTGTCGCGAGAAATTTGTGATTCAAAAAGCGACGGACCCTGCTAATATAAACATTGTACGACGAAAGCACGACGCGTCCGGTTCGCTGGGAAGTTCACGCGTGAGTAAAATAAAACGTCTGTGAAAGGTACACACATGCTCGCCTCAGTCCCGAGATTTTGTACATTACGCCCGTAGCTCATCGAAATCAGAGAGAGAGAGAGAGAGGGAGAGAGAGAAAGAGAGAAAGAAGTAGAGTTGGAGTTAACGCGGAGAGACACGACTAGAATGGCGGGATTCACCGTACGTGTTCTCTCGCAGGAACATCGGCGACGGAATGTGCCAATCTCCGCGACGATGCACCTCTCAGCTGTGCTTTTTTACCCGGCCATTCGGTCGGGACGATCCGCGCGCGTGGTGCTTCGCTCCGTTTTCCCTGTGATTCCATTAACTAGATTGCGCATTGTCGTGCTCAGCCGAGAGGAAGCCGGGAGCACCGACGCGTGTCCTAGTCGCCCGTGTCAGCGCTTATCTGTCGGAGATTTTGGCGCTGCAGAGAAGTAAAGAGAGAAACACATACACACAAAAGAAAAGAGAGAGAGGGGGGGAAAAGCAGAGATTGTTATGTGCGCCGAATGCAACGGGACCAGGATTCGATACCTCGACGAGAGAAGGAGGACTCGTCGCCGAAGGGAATGTGGCCTTGGTGTTGGATACCGGGAGAATACAAACACTGTGTTAGCGAGCCATCGCACCCTGGCTGTCGTCTCTTCTTCGGCTCGTCGATACGACCATCGTCGATGTTCGATATTGAATTCTACCGGTCACCGTAGACCGTCGACGTTCAAGAGACTCCACGAACTTGTCACATGGTCACCTCATTTCGCAATAGAAGAAAAAAGAAAGAACAGCGGAAAATTACTCAGATTTTCAAGAATGCGTTACCGAGCCATCTACCCTGTAGCCTTGTAATCTTCAGCTCGTCGATACGACTATGAGATCGTTGACGTTGAATTGCATCAGTACCACTATAGACGTTCGACAAACTTCGCGAACTTTTCGCAAGGTCACTTCATATTACGCGAAAAATAGAGAAATCCGGGAAAAAATTACTCGAATTTTCAAGAATGCATGAGCCGCATCATTTCGGGCAACGCCGTTGGGGAATATCGGGGACGGACCACGCTAGAAAATTGATAACCGCGCGATGTTACTCCCGTAGGGACGTTTTAACCGAAAAAGGTCCTCCTTCGGACTGCTCCGTAATAGCAGTTTAATTTTCTGCCGGCGCGCGAGACACCGAGGATGCGAGTGCACTTTTATCAGAAAAACGGACGAAAGCCCGATTGCATTGCACTGCGTGCTCCCTCCTCTCTCTCTCTCTCTCTCTCTTTCTCCCTCTATTCTTTACGATCCGCGCCGTAAAGCATCAATTTCTACGATGCGATTTCTTCCTCCGGCGCGACGAAAGAGAGAGAGAGAGAGAGACGACGGGCGCAAAATTATCCAGCAAGAAACGCCGAATTTACGGGCACCGCGCATAAGAGCGTCGTAATCCCGTCAGCGTAGCGCGCGCGAGCGGCAGGCGGGATGAGTTCGTGCACACATTGTGGGCGCATATTGTGCCCGTGGAAGACAATGCACCCCATTGTCTCTCGCGACGCGTGCGGTCGACCCGGCAAAAAGAGAACAAAAAAACACGGCCCAGGTTGCGAGGAGCCGACGCTCTGTATGTTCGCCCGAAGGTGCTCCCTCTCTTTTTCTCTGTCTCTCTCTCTCTCTCTCTCTCTGTCTCCTTCGGTCCCTCGGTCTCTGGAAGCAACTCCAGACCACAGCCAGCGTCTTCCACGGCCCGACAAAAGCGAACCACCCATCCGGACGAAGCGTTGCTCCCATGTCGACCATGGACGTAAGAATATAACAGGCTCGAGCACGGACTGCTTATTTAGAAACGCGGAGTTGATATCAGGGGGAAAAGGACGTGTAAAAAGCGAGGCTCGACCTCTAGACTACTGTTTTTTCGGTCTTTGCCTCTTTCTCTCTCTCTCTCTCTCTCTTTACTCTACTTGTCAACTAATAAGCGACTAATTAGTATGTGAACAATGCTAAATATTGCCGATAGCTTTAACTTGATAGACCTTGACAGGGTGTTTTTGACGTGTATAGAAGATACCCCGACACACTCATGGTCGGTTGTTTGTTTAGAATATGCGTCGAAGCGCGGTTTTTCATTGAGATGTTATGATGAGATGTTATGATCGAAACGCGTGTTTGAAATTGTTATCCTTTTCGTTGTAAACAGTAAATGCTCGCGCTCCCGTCTGCAAAGGTATATATACAAGTACAGTATATGTACAAATAATACAAATTAATTGACATTGTGGATACCAGAAGGAGTGTACTGTAAAAAAATAAAGAAAAGAGAGGGATTCTAATTGTTGGGTTTATCGAGAACTCTCACGTCTCCATGGGAAATATTGAAACCGAGGAAATAAAATGTTAACGCTAATGCATTTATATGAACTTTTGTTCGCGAGTTGTATCGTCTCTCTTCATCGCCGGATTTCATTTTTCCGATGCAATTCTCCGCGGTGTTATGATTTCATACGGAGGACATGGGACGAGGTATGAAATATCTGCTCGACCGAACGTTTCGAAGGCCGAAACGAGGAGCAGAAACGGCAATTGGCAATATCAGGAACGAGCTGCGAATCCAGACGTCGGATTCGTCTGTCCCTTTTGACCTCCAGTCTTCCCTGCGCCTTATTATTCAGTAACGAGAGTGAATAAATAACACCCGTTTAAATGTCCCCGTCAATTCGGATTAGCGATTAATCGCTACGATCTCGTACACCGTCACTTATACGATAACCGACAATATCGCGTGTTTCAACGCGAATAGCAAATCTACGATTAATCTATCCGCCAACCGTGCGAACGATAACAAATGCATACACGGAGCAGATCGAGCCGGTCGATTGATTTGCATCGCTATCATATATCCGGATCCCTCCGACTTTGTTTCTAAAAATATTCCTGCACATACACATGTTAAAAATTTAACACACAAATGTTGACAACGATCGAAGCACAAAATGTTTTTACCGTGCAAATTACACGTGTTACGAGACTCTGCTATTCATGAGCGATTATTTATTATTTGTAAAATTTCGACTGATGGTGAGCACAATGCACGGTTGAGACGTTTCCAATAACAAAATAGTTCGTATTTGAATATACATTATATTGGGAATGAATGCAAATTAAATCCGCAATCGGATCTTCTCGTCTTTCACTATTGTATCGCCGAGGAAACCTTCTTCGAGAAGAGAAACGTTCGATCCGGAGGTCCGTGAAGCTGCCGAGAGGCGGCTGATGCAGCAGTCTGCTTCGTCCTGCGCGGAATATATTCGAATGTCGCAACGGGTCAAGTGTCGAACGCAAGAGTATGTTTCCTCTACGCGTCACGCAAGCGACCACATCCTCAGCATCCTCGTCGCCGCGAGCTGTATCGGGTCTTAATGAAGTAATATTGAGCCGGAGGGATCTCGAGGCTGGATTTCCTCGGAACCCTTACGTAGGGGAAGATATCAGGAAGAGGAGTGGTTTCTCGGGTTACGTAAGCGTTAGCCTTCTATCGCACCTCGGGCGACGCTCCGGGCATGTCACAAATACTGCATCCTGTGGTTTTATACGCGGCCGGTAGTTTCCGCGGCCGGGCTTCGAGTATTGACGGCATATTTGGGCATCGCCGTCCGTAAATAGAAACCCCGGATGCCCCGTTACGGAGGGGCTCGCCCGACCTGCTCGAATTTCATACCGCGTGATATCACGTCCATTATGCGAGAGTCCCCCGGAGTGCTCCTGCGTTCCTGCGTTTCGTGACGCGCCAGATTTTCCGGAGAATAACCCCGGCAAATGTACAGTGCACGTTTCGCCGATCATCGCAACCAGAAACGCCAAATCTTTTATCCCACTTTTTTCCTTTCATTTCAATCCCAATAATAGCCTTCGAAATTATCTTTTAGCTTTAACTCTAGCAATTATCTTTAACATTCGCAAAAAACGGCGAAGTAGCGGAACGTGAACAAAAGGATAGAATTATGAGCGACCCGAATATATGATTTCACCGGGAAATTCCACATGAAAGATGATGTCACGTAAAAAGAAGAGAATACAGCCGACAGTAAAAAAGCGTGAATGAATACGATTGTATTACGAGTTAAGTAATCAGTGTCTCATTTCATCATAATCTGTCTCATCATAGTCTTATTTCGATATATTCGTTTCAATCGTTCCCCGAAGTAGCGTTCCTTCCTTCATCACCGTCAGGATCACTCCGTTCCTACATTCATCCCTGAAGAAATTCGAAGGTTAAAAGCACGATCTCTCCACAGGTAAGCGTCTTAAGCAGCGTTTTCACGGGGCCGATCGGCGAAACAAAGTCTACATCGATAATCGCGACTTCCTACAAGCGGATTAAGAGAACTCAAGTTCGAGACCACGCCGGCGACTATCGGTGGTATTCGCAAAAACGGACAACCGAGATGTTCTTCGCGTCTCCTCTCGGACGCTAGCCAATGGAAATAGCGGCCGAACAGTTTTAAGAGCGGGACACTCGGCGTAATCGAGAAGTTCGCAACTCAGGCTGAGACGACGCGCCGGCGGCGGGCGTCGGTACGGCGAGAGAGAAAAGTTTCCGGCGGATCGGGCGAGCCTTGCCAAAAGCTGCCCGTTGTTTCCGTTGTTTCTCACCGCCGGCCGTTCCGGACGGAACGGCTGCGCGCTATAAGCTGTTTACGCGATCGCAAGAAAACGCATGGCACAACCGTGGGCTCTATTAAAGCCCGAGAAGAGACCGGCCGAGCGAGCGAGTGAGCGCGGCCACTCGCGCGCGAGAAGTAAACGCGAGCCCGATGTACTTTGGCGCCGCTGCAGATTTACCGGCTGTGCAAATGAAATTCCGATGCCATCGTGTCATTTTTCTCCCTCGTCCGTAGTTTTATTCGCGAGTTACTCTCGTATTGCTGCGATGTGATCGAATATTTGCTTGAAGCAACAATAAACGATAACGAAATAAAAGTACAGCTGAGAGGGAAAATATTTAGAAAATGGAAAGATGCTTTCTTCGGTGGATGCTAATGACAGATTGATTTAAATTTAAATGATTTTAAATATTAATATTGTCGATAATAATATAACTGTGGGAGAATGTAATATTTGTAACGTGCGTCTAGATTACGTATCATCCGGTTTGCGTACGCGGAGAATCTTCACACGTTAAGCGAATCCTTTATTACCTTATAAAAATATTTCATTGTTTTTAATTCGCGAAAATTGCTGGTTTGGGTAGCGAAAGCATGCGTCTGGTTGAGTTAGTATGACCCCGTTTTCAGGTCGGAAAAGGGCACTTTTCCGTAACAAGTGGTTATAACGAATTGCATGCGAGTATATCCGAATAGTATTAACGTATTATTATGAGTATTTTTGTATAGCAAACACATCGTACAGTGCTTTGTAAATTTGATATGTGCAAATGTACATTCAGTCACGAGTATATAATACTAGTTTAACACTCACAAGCGCTCATACTGCACATTTTGAAATAGCACGAATAAATGCATAACTCTGTAACGCGTTTCTTTCTGTATTAAGACAAAACTCAATAAAAGAGAAACGTATTAACGTGCTCTCATTCATTAGCTGAAAAACGAGCGTTGAAGACGGCCAATCTGTTTAAAAATACTCATATATACTAGCGTGCACATACCATACTCATCATATTCCTTCGCATAATAAACTGCGCGTGCCTGAGAGTGCAAGGAACGAGTATAAAAATGATAAAACGAGACGGCTCTGAACGGTTAAAAATGGACCAAGAACAGTGCCATACGAGAAGTAAAACCGGTGAAATATTCTCGTAAGGAAATTTCCATTATTTTAATATGATTCCCCTTATTAAATCAACCGAGAATTTTTAATTTATACTGAACGAAAAACATCCATGCTTTGGCTCCTGATGGTTTCATATATTCCACCTTCATCATATTTTGAAACAGTCATATTTAATTTCTTTTGTTTAAAAATAAAATAAACAACTTCTTTTATGCAAACCTACCGACTTAAGGAAATGTATATTTTCTCATCTGAAAAGAATTTCTTTTCAATATAAAAATATATATCGGTATAAGTAAAAAAATATATCCGAGTAAAATATTAGTATCCACCGAATAAATATTTTTTTATTTTTTCCATATTTTTCCTCTCACTGTAGACACGTAAGATCAAGTCGACTCGGGAGTTCTGAGAGGGCAGAGGGGGACGAACCGGGGGTCATTGCGGGTCCGACGCGGTTTATTGTAATTTGACAGTTATTCATTGCGGTTTGTTGGTAGCGGTTCGTTGTATTTCGATAACGTTTCGGTGCAGTTCATTAATGGTCCGATTGCGGCTGTTAAAGAATCACAATAAACCACTGCCGGAGTCGCAATGAGCCGCGATGAACCCACTGTCGAGCCACAATAAATCGCTATCGGACCAAAGTGGCCTTCGCTCCCCTTCATAACCGCCAAAATTCGAGGGCCGGTTTTGTACGCCTACTACGGGTCGTTTCGCATCCCGGGACGAGTAGATCACCTCTCGCCGGGTGTAATACGGTCCGGTGACGCTCAGGGCGGAAAGTAAGCCCGCTGCTCGGGTGCTTTTCCGGTAAAACGGCGGGATCCCCGCTCCGTCGAAGACGTCGGGGCAAAGAGACCGGTCGGGGTTTAATTTGGAGCGATTAAACTACGCGACTGGAACGGAAGAGCGACGTTCCGCTCGGCAGCGCGGCGATGCGCGACTGAAGGAAGCAGGGCGGAGGATGGTAGGAGCGGAGGCTGAAACGACGCCCCGATTGTTTTCGATAATCTCGTCCAGGCGATCGATCGCACGGTCCGCTCAATAAGATCGCATTAGTCGCGGCCGATAATCGGATAACAAACACGCTGATTGACTGTTTGTACGAGGCCCGAGTAATTACCGTGATAATTGTTTACACGCCCGCGATTATGCGAGCCGAGTGGCATTTTGCATGAGATACCACGCGCGTTTTCAGCGCATCGGACTGTAATGGGATACGGCGCTGTCGCCCGTTGATGAGAAGATGCGTAATAATTCAGCGTGTAATTCACGCGTGGCTGAAAACTACGCGCGACCCACATCGAGACAATCGCGAATTAGACATGAGATCGTTTTCTCGCAATGTTGCCGAGATGCATCGACGTCGTTGCCCGAGCGTCAGTATTCGGCAATGATTTGCGGTCACGGGTGCGATAATAATTATGGAACTAATAACACTTTCGATCAAAAGAGACCGGTTTGCGCCGGGAATGACGGTGTGAAATAATACATAGCGAAACATAGCGCACTTCTATCGCCCCGTTATCTGCTTTACATATAATATGATGAATGCGTAATATCAGCTATCGAATATTTGCGCTGCAATACGCGCCGAGCTTATGCGCATAATTCAATACGCGATTATAATATCTAATGATGCAAAGCGATACGAACTCCCGTTTCTTTCGCCTCTCTCCCTCGGATATAATTTCGAGGAAATCATCTTTCCTCGAGCGATACGCGTTTCTACACGCGGACGAGACCGTCGATGGTTTCCGTCGGCGGAGAGGATCGGCCGGCGATCCTTCAGGTGATTCATTGGTCCGTGACAATTTGTTAGGCAATGGTTGATACAATACGGAGAAACTCGACAAATCTGTGCTAAGTGTTTAACAAACATACTGTGAACAACTGTAAAGCTGCTGTCGCGTCCTTCGGCCTCTTGCAAGCAGTTAATTACGTTACGTCTTATGTGTATACTCAGCACCAATAAAGTAATACTATTATTATTACTAACTTCAACTTCATTTCTCTCAGCTTCAGTACAGTTGATCTTTTTCTAACTGCACGTGTATACAGGTCGTTGTGTTTCGATCAATATTCCGCGGGAATCCGTTCGATGCGCGTACGGCCGACGCGCATCGACCGATCGCGACAAGAGGTGTCTACTTACCAGGTACCACTGTTCCTTGAAGAGGGGGTCCGTGAACAGGTTTTGGAGCGGCAAGCTGGCGCGGATCCTCGGCGGCTGCTGGGTCGTGCCGATATGACGCGAGCGTGGCCGGAAGTCGAAGAACGGAGGGAAGCCGACGAACGCGTAGGGCGCGCTCTCGAAGTCGCGCTTCTTGCGCTTCTTCTCGTGCTGCTGCTGGAACCAGTGCACCTGCAACCGAAAGCATCGAGCCTGCAGGCGTGTGTTCTTGCGGCCTCGTCAATCGACTCTCTCCGGCGAGCCGCGTCATCGCCCCATAAACTTGGACAATGACGAGCCATTAGCCACGTGCGCGCTCGCTCGCTCGCGAGGAATCGCGTTTTGTTATCTCACGCCGTTACGCCGAGTTACACGCGACGCAACGACCCACGTAGACGTTTGTTTCGCGCACAACGTCCACCACGCCAACGCGAATCGCGTACGGACAAATTTCCGTTAAGTGCCCGGAATATTTCAAGGTGTCGTCGGACGGTTTCTTGTCAGTGAGGAGGCGCGAGACACGCCGCTTGTATTAATGATACAGAGGGTTGCACCGCTGGCGTTTTTTTGTCCGATCTGATATCGTTTTGTTGTAAAATATTAAGGAGATATCATATCTCCTCTAAAGAGAAATAGTGAAATAAGAGAAGTGAAAACTAAAAGAAAAACAATCTCTAGAAATAAATAATAGAATGTATTAAATTAAATTAAATTAAATTATTAAATTAAACGAAATACGAAGAAGTAAGATAAGTCGATATCCAATAAAATGCGAGGAAAGAATATAATCAGCAATATAATGCAGCGAATTAACTGATTCTTTCAATTAAGCAAACATAAAAAAATATTAAAATACGTAAAAATACGCGTATTTCAGGAGAATCACATCCCTCGCCGACGTTCATGCCCGTCGAGTGATTCGCTCGAAGAAGCAAACGGGAGGGGAATTAAACTATGCCGCTCTCTCCTCCAATAAATTTCTCGCTCAGAGCACTAGGAAGCTGCCGGTGGGTCTGGTAGCGAGCGAGCGCGATCGCTGTTTTTTATCCTGTTGATTGGTTAAACGGGCATACACCGCCCGATGACCTGCGACGCGGGAAATTCGCCGGCGCAGATTGACCAGATCCGGGGGGGTCATAAATCGCGCAATCACCGAAAAACGCCTCGGGGAGCGAGCTTTAATTCTGGCGCTCCTCTCGTTTCATTCATACCGCCGGTATGACCAGACACGCGATGCCATTCGACGCGCCGGTACCGACCACGCCGGCAGATTCACGGCCCTTCCACATTTTGGCGAGACGCCAATTTCGCCAGGATCAAGCGAGTTAGTGTCACGGCCGTGTCGCCGGCCGCGTGTCGCTAGAGTCCCGGATTTTACAATTTTCGAAACAGCGGCACGAATACAAGCGAGAAATTTGGCGCATGTGTCGCTCCGGCCCGATCGTCGAACGTATTAAAAGTCCCCTAAAACGAAACGGCCGTATATATATACACACGCGGCGGAGTAAGCGGCAGATGTTGCTCTGTCTTCGCCTCTGTGAATTATAAATAGCTCCCACCGAATGGCGACACCCCCCGAACAGAATAGTATCCGCGATATGAATCGCGAATATGGATCTCCGACTGGCGAAAGTAACGACGCGGTATCTAATAACGAAAGTCATCCGCCATTTGAAATTCTAATTTCCAAACTCGGACGGGACTGCCCACCCGTCTGCTTGCCCGTCTGTCTATCGGGCTGTCTGCAATACCGTTCGCCAAAGTTACGGGCACGAAAGCGAAAACACGAGAGAATGAAGACCGAGACAATTTCACTTTCTCTCTCTCTCTCTCTCTCTCTCTCTTTCTCCCCCTCTCTATCTCGCGGGAATGCAACTTTCCGCCGATTTTCCGATAACGCTACACCCCCTCCTCTCTCTCTCTCTCTCTCTCTCTCTTTTTCTCTCTCTCGATCTGTCTATCTATCTCTCATTGGAGTATTGTGAACGAAGCGCGCAATACCCCCGATGCGATATGTATCGCCATAGAGCGCGATCTGCGTGGCGATTTCAAAAAAAAAAGCGAGGAGATAAAGGGAAAATAGAAGAGCAAAACGTCGCTCCTCTATTTTTCAGCGAGCAATTAAGCGGTTAATTAAGCGTACTGCACAATTAATAAGCAGCCAGTCACGATCGCTCTGCAGGAGAACGAGAGAATTCCCGGTCACGTAGCCCTGCCTGGCTTTGCCGTCCATAAATCCCGACGATCTCCGCGGCTAGCGTTCGACAAAAAAAAGGGGGAGGAAGAGGAGAGAGAGAGGGAGAGAGAGAGAGAGAGGAAAAAACGTATTGCACGCGCGGAAGCTACTACGTCCGCACATCCGCGCCGTGCAAATGGCATTTTCCTTGCGATCACGTGCTACCGCGTAGCTCATAATTAATGTTAACGCTATCGCGAGCGCACGTGCACATGTGAAGGACCACATTTCTCTCGGATGCGATATTTTTCCGACGTTACCGGCCAGCGGCGGCCCCCCTACTGCCGTTCGACACCGCGATTTTCATCCACGTCGAGGAGGAGCTTATCGAGACGAGGACAATGGCGAGAAACGCGGCGGCGGTGACGGTGGCGGCAATATTGTCTCTCGAAACAGTGAGATATTTTGCCACGTCCTCGTGAGAGAGAAGGTACGAGGCTCCTCCGGAAAGTGCACTTAGAGCGTCCAGCAGGTATTTCCCGCGCGAGCACTAAGGTGTGAGCGACTGTGGCGCGGAAAATTCGGGAAAAGTCACGACGGCGCGGAGCGACGTGATTAGCGGATTATTTACGGTGTATCGCGGAGCCGTGAACGTCGATGATTCGGCTAATCGGCGAGATTTCGTTATAATTAATGTATTTGCCGAAATGGCCGCCTATGTTGACTCGCGGGATATTTCACACCGCCACTCGTGAGAAAGAGTACTCGCGTCACGAAGCTGCGGGACAATTTGCCACGACTCGAACGTTCCCGACCGAAGTGTATCCAGCGAGGAAGACGTGAACTCGTCATTGTCGTCTCTTTTCAACGGCGATCGGCTATCTCGTTGTGAGCCGTTGCTTATTTCTCGGTGCCGTAAGCTGTCATCGCGGATTTTGATGGTTCGTAGGTGTCGAGAGAGAATTAAATGCTATGAAATGTGAGGGAAAGGGGATGACGAAGTGAATAGGAAAATCGTGGAAAAAGTCGACAAACCTTAAGGTCGTCATCATACCCTGTATATTATGAAAGTAAAACATATTTTACGTTTGAGAAGCTGCGTGTGTATTCTACTACGTGTTCATTTAACCATTGACTTGATGAGATTTTGAGAGCTTAATACCGACATACCAAGATCTTCGAAACAATATGTGATATTGTTTTCTTCCTCCTGAAAACTGCGCATTGCTTGAATTATAACTTCCAGGAACTGGATCGCGGACGTACATGGAGGTCAAGCGATGGAATAATGAAAGAGGAGAACTAAGCTGGAGAAACTTAAAACCTTTATGGATAATAACGATGCACGACGTAGTTGACTTTTTAAAAGGGCAATCTGGAGAATATCGCTGCTAACCTGAGATGTGTTTATAGCATAATTAAAAATATACGAAGAAAATTGCTGTCATTTTTCTCGTAACCGAGCGGCGGAAACCTGAACTCGTTATATGAAGATCGGGTAAAGGGGTGAAATAAAAACTGTAAAGAAGACGGAGAAACTTGAAATTCAACTTCAAGGAGAAATGCTGCGAACAAACAAGCAGAAATCATGCATATCCTGATGAAAGGAACCCATTGAAGATTGAATCTACCGGCGCATTAGAAATTCGCGAATACTGACTTGGTTCGCGATAAAATTCGCGATCGTTGCGATCATCAATTTCCTAAATTTGTCATACACGGCGGCATTTCAATATCATTTCTGTCGAAATTATTTCTAAATTCAATATATGCATTAACTGTCTTTCTTTTTTCCACTGAAGAAACTTAAACTCTTGTGAAACGGAAGATTGTTTTTTTCTTCGACGAGCAAATCGAAAAATAGCATTTCCTCCTCTTTGAGCTTTATCGGAAGCGGCATAATCTTTGGTTCGCGATTTTTCACACGCGATTCCTGAGTGTCCTCGGAAAAACTATTCCGGAATTGATCACGTGATTTTTCACGGCATCGCTAAGCGCCGTTGAAATAATCGCGGTCGCGAATTTTCGCGCGGTGAAAATGTGAAGTAAGCGATCGCGCGGGACTGGATGGACGCGGTCGGAATGCAGCGGTGGGTTTCATCGGTGAACCCGGATGGCTGGACGCGTCGTTTGATATCAACGCCAAATGGCGAGCACAACAAACTGTTGGCACTCGCAAAGCGTCGCATTACAATAGCGCGTATTACTTTCAGACGCAAATTGCATTGATTTCCGACGGCAAAAGTAATCAATAGCGCGTAAAGGTGCGCGCGCGCGCGCGCTTGTAGTATCTATCGGAAATAAAAACGTGTTTCCAGTCGGCAAAAAAAGGGAAAACGCGACAATCATGTGAAGCAAGGTATATTGTTGCTCTTCAACACAGCGACAGAGGAAGCTCGCGTGTAAACTAGGAAATGGTTTTTTTGAAAACGCAAGAGCCGCCTATTGAGGGGGGAAAAAATATCCTCTATGGCGGGACTATTTACGCAACACATTTTTCCACAGTTTGCCGTGAAAACACCTCAACACAATGCAAGTTGTCCCTGCTGGCTTTCAGTTTTGTCGGCTTTTCCCGACGTTACTATTCGCTGAAATTGGAAAAAATTACTCTTTAAATCGGAAGCCGCGTGCGTCACGACGTCTCGTCGTGCGTAGAGGAGATGAGGGAGAGTTGGGACAGTGTTATTTTCTTTCTAATAATTGATAGTATACTTTTGACTGAAACACAGCTGATATGTCTCTATATGACATGTATGAAAAACTTAACTTACCAAGTAGCGAAGATTATAATTTTAAAGGTAAATAAAATCATTTCGGGCCATCGAAAGTGATTATTTTCTTATTATAGTATTCGTGATACTTTTGTTGATAGTCGCATTTTAAAAAAGAATCTGTTGTTGCGAAATTTTGTAAAATAAAAGCTACAGAAGACAAAATGTCAAAATTGTCCCAACTCTCCCTTATCTCCCTTAATAATAATAATAATCTGTTGGCCATGGGAGCTCAAAATCAACAAGTCCTTACCTCGCGGTCTCCGCAAATGCGCCCCGAGCGAGACAAGCCAATTGGGCTATTTGTCGAAACGCACGATTGCTGATCGATCCGTTAAGCCTCTGTGCCGCGCGCGATTTAACGCATCTCCCGGGGCGTTCTTGGCGTTGAATTCTCGTCGCCTTTAACGATCATTACGAACGTCGCCGCTGATATAGGTTCGTTAACACCTTCATCGGACTATCAGCTGATTTCGCGAAGAGTGTACGCTCTTACATTCACGAATGAGAGTTATTATTCGCGGCTGTGGTCACTTTCGCCCGACTGCACGGGAAGAATTTTTCTGGATAAATTTTTTTCCCGGATGATACGGATCAGTATTCGGATAAATGGAGGAAAGCGCAGCGCTAGCTTGCCCGGCAGATGCGTGCTCGTGTCGTTCGAAATATTCGGCTGGAACAGAAATTCGTTCAGTTTTTTCGGCTTGATTCAAACAAGTACTGCTCGCAATTAGGCAGGCTGAAGGCAGCAACCGATGACAAGCATACGGAATTGGGCAACAGGAAGAACCAATTTGTTGTATTCCACTAGGACAATATTTTTTTTTTACACAGATTTTCGCCTTTAATTTCGTTAAAGAAGAAGCTGGGCTAATTTCATGTTTCAACCCGATATTTCGCATGAAAAACCAGTCTTGCACGTGTGGTGAATTTTTCGAACGTAAGGTTAAAGCATAGCATCCGTCTCTATCTCTCTTTCTCTTTCTAAACTATTAATTAATGGTAATGCACCATTTTGACCTTAATATGAATATATTCCAACCGCGCGATGTAGCATATTATTGGTATATTATTACTGGTATATTATTACTTGTATATTATTATTGGCGCATTATTCAGCAAAATTCTCTCCGCGCAAGGCTCGCACTGCGCTCTCCGAGCGTACCTTTCGTTATTTCGCGCCTGCCATGTCGCGTTAACTGGCGAAAATTTCTTCGTCAAAAATCGTTCACGTCGGCGTTGCCCGCTCTCTCTCTCGGCGCAAAAAGCAGCCTCGTCGCGCAGCGTGCGTCACATAATTAACGTCTCGTAATGAGCAAACGAGGAAACAGGTTGACTTACCCGAGATTCATCTCTCAGCGTCTTGTGATGTGGCTCGCTCACAGTAAGGGACCTCTTGTGCAGCCGCTTGTGAGAGAAGAGGTAATAATTCTTGAGTGCGCCGATCTGCAACCGAAAAATAAACCGTTCTTATTGCACTGTACCTCTCTTTCTCACGTCGAGTCGGGAGAAAGCGAGGTGCCGTAGGGCCGTAGACGTAAACACGAAGATATATAAGAAAGGGGGAGGGGGTAGTTCGCAAGTTTTCCCCCTCGCGCGGCCCTTTCGATGGCGTTTCGATGGTCTTGTGACTCAATATCGTTTCGACTGAAGTTCGACAGTAACTCCCGAAATGCCGTTCTTAAAGCGGCACCCGTTAAATCCCCGTCTACTGCATTCATCGCCGTGTTTTCCGCCGATCGATGAATGTTCGCCGACACTTCGACCGTGACAGATCGACACGATCGTCATCGGGAGAGCAGCCGGACGCGATTCTTTCCGACGGAAACGTCGGGATCCAGACGATCCAAGCCGCATGGTTATCCGAGTCGAAATGCTACTGTGACTCTCTTAAAGATAGTTTCCACCTACCTAAATAATAGATTAATAAAAACTCCTATATTGACGATACTGACACTTGTTAACTTCTCTTTCGAATCTGATTCTGCAGAGTTCATTCTCATGATACCTTGAATAATTTATTTTGACGCTAAAACAATGAAAATGGAAATTTAAGGCAACATTAGAGTAAATTATATTATTATAACTGAATCTGTGTGAACCTATTTTGCTATCTTAGTTTTTATTGTAGAATTTTCGGAAGTTTCACATGCGACCAAGATCTTCGTTTCAGGTATAGAGTCGACTCGAGTCGCGCCAGGTCGGAGATACGTCAGATATTTATGCGCTTGATATCCCGGATTTTTTTATAAATAACATTTCGCCGGTCGTGACACAGTAGCCGGTTTTTCGGGCGCCGCTTATCGATCACTGCATCAAAGGCGTGTTTTCGTGTTTAGTGATCTCCGTCAGTGCGTTAATGAATGACATGCGCGTGCGCCGCGACGTTAGCTTCCAATTTTGGAAGTTTAACACGATCCATTAGGGATAATTGGCAGCTTATTGGACGCTAGGTGATTATAATTATATCTATATGTACATAGCACGCAGTGGGGGAGCGGCGACGTTTCGCTTTTGCGGTCGATGGAAATGATTGTCGATAATTCTGGGCGTAGCGAGGGAGGGCACGCTCCAATAATGCGGCGCATAACCAGAATAGCTAACAAACCATTCCGATCGACGATTTGATGTATTCTCGGCGCTTCGGTCACTTTCCACGGCGTATTTTAAAAGTCTAGAGTAAACAAAAGCTAGCGAGAACGTTCGCTTTACGCTCGTTCCTCCCAATTATAACGTCCCAATTATATAACCAATCGCATCTGATATAAGAGATGACGTTATTTGGACGGTGACAGACGCGTGTGATCGGGTCAATCGGCATAGAAATTTCAAGATTTTCCCAAAAGCAACATGGACTTCGATCAAAATATTTAAATTTGTCCGGAAATAGGTTATCCTACTGAAATATCAATTTGAAAATCTCATTATTACCTACTTGAAAACATAGGTTCTCTGTATTTAGAACTGAAATAGAAATACGGTGAAAGGTATTTCCGTTTCAATCGTAGACAGAAATATCTCTTTTTAGAAAAGATTTTTTCGGTCGATAAAATCGGTATATTTTTACGACATTGAACAGGAAGAATCCTATTTCTATGCCAACTATTGAATTCAACGGAATAAAATGCAAGAGAAAGGAAAATATAAAAATTTGAAACACTGAAATTTGCACACTTCAAATATTTACACATGTAAAGTGTAGTTATATTTGTAATGCACACTCGTAAAGTGTAAATATTTAGAGTATTTCAGATATTTCGTTTCATTCTGTTATAAAATGGACATGAGAAAACAATCTATAGAGAAAAGTTGCACAGATCAAGTGGAATCTGTTTGGATTTCTCGCTCGGAATCGCGTGTTCGAGACACTACTAATTTTTTCACCAGAATCTGCGCGAACTTTCAAACTAGATTCCATAATTTTCTTTTTAGGAAATCGTACTGAATCTCAATTTGATTCCACGACATTTCCTATTCCCGTGTTCTCGCGAGGAAGAAGTCATGGAGTCGCGGTTCCTTCGAATACGGAGAGACGATTCGCGCCGACGAAGATCTCTCTAACAGGAACGTTAAAAATCAGACGAAACTGCGCCACGAAGTACAAAATCACTTTCCGAAGGCGTTTTTGCGCCGCCGATGCGTCACACGTGTCGCCTACTTGAAATTCCTCCGTGGCGCCGAGCCACGGCGGAATCGAGAAAGCAGAACTCGGGCGCGATTCTCAAAGGAAAAAAGGGCAGGAAGAAAATTAGGCAAAAAACGAAAAAGATGAAGGAAATGCACGGACGCTTTATTTCGCCATCGAGCGGCGCCCGAATTTTCGCGGCGAGCTCGGGACAACCACTTCGAGGTTTCTCTTCCGGCTTTCTCAAGGTTGTAAGTAGCCGAAGAGTGGCGAGAAGTGCATCGCTCGCTCCTCTCAATCTCGAGTTATCTTTCGCGCGAGAAAGAGAATTACTCGCCCTAGTTTTTTCGCTTCGGCTATTTTTATCTCTTCAGGGGCAACGATACGTGTCGTGCGGCTTTATTTTACTTGAAAACCCGTTAACCTACCCCCGTCTCCTTCCCGCTTCCTCGTGCGATAAAATAAAATTCAAGATATCTCCACGCCGTGTCATGCTTTTCCGTAATATCTTGGAACATTTCCTTAATAGAGAATGTAATCTAATTCTATTCGAATTTTTAATAGAATCTTATTCCGATCAACATATTCGCCCTTTTATCTCGTGGTTTGATAGCGAATGTAATTCAACCCCTTGCGACCACGGTCTGGAATATTCGAATCATTTCGGCGAGTATATCTCGGCTCTCGATCGCAAAAGAGTTAAGGCGAATCGATCCCGCCGAACTTATCAAAAGCACCATTTACCTAACAGGGTGAGGAACGGGGATCCTATTCGAGGTTCGCGACGGAGAGAGGAGAACGGAAAGGTTAAATTGTACGTATCGTCGAAGCTGCCATCACCATCAGCCGGTTACCTCGTACATTTCCAGCGGATCGCACGAGAAAGCAGCGTTCTTCTATCGCTAACCGAGAGCGATAGAGACACCTGCATACAGGGTGTCGTCGTAAGGAAAATCCCGAACGCAAAGAGAATTCTCGCCGAAAACTCGGGAGCTCGAGGTCGACTGAAATTTGCTCGAATTATAAGCGAGGAATCAAGAAACCATGCAAAAATATCGCGGATTTTCCAACATTTTCGCGGAGGCGACTCTTGAGAGCGACCGGGGAATCGCACGATTCCTCGGCTTCGAGTCACCTTGTATAAGGAAAAAGGAGCGACGAGGGAGGAGAGGGGAGGAAGGGAGAACGTGAGACTATCGCTACCCTGAGATATTCCACGAGCCGTGATGGAGCATGCTTCGTCGGTTTCACTAGAGGCGCCATAACTCGGCTGGGCGATGCCGGAAGACCGGTTCGCATATTTCCGTCGGCAATTTTACGTGCAACTCGCACGCTCGCCCGAAGACGCAAATTTCACGGCGGGTCAAGGACTCGCCCGAGGGCTTCCTTCTCCGTGGCGCGGTCAAACGTGGCGCCCGCCGAAATTCCCGGTCGACCACGCGGAATTTTGATAATATTCCCCGTGTACGCGATTATTTCGCGAGCTTGGCAACCGAGGCGTCGTCGTCAGGCTATATTAACCCTAAACTCGCCGATGTATCCCGTGCGGCAGGTCCCTGTGTTCAGAACCGCCTCGCACTTCGCAAACTGCAGCCCGCCGTCGTAAACTACCTCGTAATTGAAAAGTTTGCGCTACGGTGAACCAACCGACGCGGAATAATGCGGGCAGATTTCGGAAGAAGTGTATGACCGTAATTTACACGAATCTCCCGGGAATTAACGTCCACGTTGCATATGTGACGTATCTTTCGCGACAAACCGACGTTACACGCACGGAAAAAAGGAATTAGCTAGAATTAGCTTAGGAGCTAAAAACAGGGACGAAGAAATGAGCGAAACTAGCGAAACTTCATTTGTATTACATGGGCAGAATTTTTATTTGAGAGCTAACATTCCTTTTCCGCGCGCGCGCGTGTGTGTGTGAGGGCGATAATTTAAAAAGAAAAAAGTAATTTTTAAGAAAGAATTTTTTAGAAAGATACGTCCACGCAAACTAACGAAATATTTTACATAATTACGTGAAAAGATACAGGGTGGGCTTCTCCGAATGAACCGTGGTAGAGGACACGTTAAGAACTCTCACATCCGTAAGCACGCAACGGCAAGGGGAGAATTCAGCGCAACAACGACCTATTCTACGGCTTCTTTAGCCGTTCGAGTGCCAAGGAGGGCGGCGATCGCACCGCTTCGTTTCACACGCGAAAAATGCCAACGAGCGCTATCGCGCTCCTCTTGTTTCGTACGAGACGATTTCTAGCAAGCGCGATTGCGCTCTTTCGTTTCACACGCGAAAGAGGCCAACGAGCGCTGTCGCGCCTTTTCCTCTCGTTTCTTGCCTCCTCTCCGTTGTTTTACAATTCGAAGTTATCACTCGAGGTTATTACATTTATCATCAGTCCGATACTGATTGCGGAATAGACACGTTTTTTCTAGTTGTCGTAACTGCGACCACCGCCGCAGACTTGGCAGTTAGTTACGAAGTGGCCAATATATACGATGTGAATATTGACCCTTTCCTTTGCCTGTTATATTTTTATCTGACACATGAGAGTATAATAAATATACCTTACGCTTTCCCCGAATCGTCCGTTGCACTTGTGCGACGCCGGGCATCTCATATACTGTCACTTCTACTCCCGTTATAACCGTCTTGGCACCGAAACCGACCATATAGCTCGCAGCGAGATGAACAATTCTTTCTCTCGGTGTATTTTCAGCCGAGGAACTCAATTTAAGTCCCTCACGCAAGACAAGCTCCAAATAATGACCGTAAATATGGATCTCGACGTATGAGAATGGTACTCGTAATAGAATCGTACAA